TCAATATATGGAAGCTGGAACAATATATTGGAGCTCAATATTTATTGTGTGCACAATTTCTTTGCAATAGTAGATTGATTGTTGCCATTTTCATGTAAGATACAGTATATAAGATGTGATCTGTTGAGGGTAGAATAACCTCTTTGGCTAATTATTAAGTAATTCTGTAATTTATCAGTAGCAGTTAGTAGTAGTAGTAGCAGGCCTTTCAATTATAATATATATTTAAAAATGTGTTTATTGTGAATCTCCTGCTTTGCGTCAGTGGCATAAAGTGTTTTCAATATGTCTTTTACTGCAATATTTCTCTGCAGCAATATATCATGCTGCAAACTGTGTTATCATGACTGACCTATGCATCAGAAGGATGTATAGGCCAGTCACGAAGTCTGGAGTTTAATGTATTGTGTCAATAGTTTTTGGAGCCTCTGTCCAGAGATGTGATGACTTCAAAGGTTCATAGATTGGAGGCTGCAGGGGTAAATCTGAGAGACTCTTAAAGTTTATATCAAAATATTCTCACAGTATATTCTCACAGTATTACAAGTTAAAACATATCCATGCACTAGTATGTCTGGTATCATCATGTTTACAAAACAGAATCCTCTGAGTCAACCTCCTCTACATCAGTCTGACCTTGAACAATTAGTCTATGTGAGGAGATGACAGGCACGAACTGTTTTCAGTAACCACCTCACATTTACATAGATTTAAAGAATGAATGAGAAATCATTTACATTATTCTAATTGCAGATGGGAATCATTCATATCGTGCAGGCAAACACTTTCTTCAGAAATGCACTGCACTCCGGAAGTTGCCTAAATTAGTTTGGTGGTTTGAGTCATAAAAAAAGTTACTGTGAAGTGTAAACATGTTATTTTGTGGTTGTATATTGTGTTTGGTGCTAAAGCAATTTAAAAACAATTTAATTAATTTATTTATTTATTATGATTATTAAAATTTTTGTCCACACCTATTTTGCTTTGCCAGTCACCAGTATCTTCAAATAACGTGGGCAATTGTGGGATTACTGTGTTAATCAGACCTCAGTGATGTAAGTGTAAAACTCAATGAAATGGGCCACAGATGTGAGAATGACATTGCCGCATACACCAAAACAATTTCCTGTGATCACAACAGAGTATAGGCTATATACCTACATACTTTATTCAAGGGCACAGACATCTACAGACACACGCTAATGTCAGACTGATCATGTAAATCATTGTTCTTTTCTCTTTGTTAAATAGACTTCCACTCTCAATCCAATTTGCACACAAATGAAATCATTAAAAGATGCGTCCCTTGAGACGTTTACCCCCGAGTTATGAACTTATCTCCACAAAACACAAGCGCCAAATCCTCAGGGGAATTAACCTGCTTTGTATTTGATGTGCACGTATTGGCTAAGGCATTCAACTATAATATGAAGGGAAATGGTTAAGTATTGACTGACTATGTAAGTCCATGGTTCTATCAGGCAAGAATGTGGGACTGCATAGGTGAGTCAATTACCAGACAAAAGACTAGGAAAGGACAAACGGAAAGGAAAGAAAAATACAACTACGCTCTCCTCTTCCTTTCACTGATTTCACAAATAGCCTCCCACGTTACAAGAATACACAGGTTTCTCCATCGTGTGGGGATCACATAAGATGCAAGTAATCTTGTGAGACAGAGTTGAATATATAATGCCATTTGAATGATCTTGGCTGTCTGCTCTGACTGTATATGTACAGTCAATAATTTGCATGAAGGCAAAGTTTGCATGTTGAGAGTGGCCTGAGAGCTGCAGAGAAAATGCTTTGTTCATACAATCTGCTATTCGTTAGCGCTTGATATTCACAGTTGTGAAATGTATACTTACAATGTGGTAAAAATTATTAATTTATTGTGGTTGAAGATTTGAAAAACAAACACATATTTTATATTATGTTGCTCTGACAAAATGCATGCTGTTTACTTATAGCTAAAAATGCATGGATTTATGATGGGCAAACTACTGGCCACACAAACAGATGAGAATGAAATGAACATGACATTTTTTTTAATTTAAATTAATTGCATATATATATATATATATATATATATATATATATATATATATATATATACATATACACACACACACACACACACACACACACACACACACACACACACACACACATATATATATATATATATATATATATATATATATATATATATATATATATATATATATATATATATATATATATATATATATATATATATATATATATATATATATATGTATATGGCCCCCAGCCATCTTCATTAGAGTTCAAAAAATGTCACCATTGCCATAGCACTCATTTGAAATGATGTCCTCCAAATGATGTTTAAAGAAAGCTGAAACCGATGAATAATAGGCTTATTCATGAGTTTCAAATTCCTGTTATATGTGGCATTTCAAGAAGTAGGGGATAGTATTTTGTGTTGAATTGTTAATTGCTATAGCAACAGTCCTAATTGAACATGATCAACCCATAGATCTGCTAAGAAAATAAAACTCAGGAATTGCATGCCATGGTGTATAATGTAGAAGGTAATATCTCAATATTAAGGTACAAGTTGTGAATGTTGTTCTATAATGATTATAGACACGTCACTTTACAAAGTGTGCATGTGTGTGGTAAAAGAATGTTTTTCCCACGAGCAGCTGTTTCTGGCCCCTGGCACTAAACCTGACCGCAATTCAGTTTTTACACATAGCATGAGGATTATGAATGGCTGGGATGTCACCCCATTTCTTTAGGTTAACAATATTTCTGTAGCTGCGATCACAGTGTCATTTGTCAAAGAAATTTTAGCAGCCCCAAAGACATCTTCCAAAGAAAAGTCTGAGTCACACTGAATTATTAGGGTAATTCTACACTTACTTCCATTCACTAAATCATATCCTATGAATGCAGTAAATTAGTTTGTGCTATCACAAGAATTAAGCCACTTTATCGGAATCTTGCTCAGACACTTTTTTCATCCAAACACATCCAACAATGAAACCACCGGGGGTTTTAAGACATGACACATCAGAGTTTGTAAAAAGCCTTTGATCTTTTCCACTCTGCAGAGAGGCGCCACAGCTAACTGTCCCTCAGTGTCTGTGATTTACAATACAAAGCCAAAAGAACACAAATAACTGTGTATAACATAACAACAACAACAACAACAACAAAAGAAATAAACCTTTGTTGTTTTAGATGTAAAATATAAATCAACTCTCCAAAATCACAATGTCAAATTACTTCAAATACTTCTACTACACTATCACTTGGGTCATGCTATGGTAATGTCTCTAAATGTGCTTAATGAGGGCTTTGAATGAAAAACATCTACATAAGGTTCTGCCAAAATGCACAAAAGGTTTATCAGAATAAAGATTTTATAAATGTGTTAAAGAAACATGAACCAAATTATATTGTGTGGCCATGGCCATGTTATACCAAAAGGACATGATAAGGTGGTTTGTATGTTATAGGTGAGCAGTGCACTCTGTATACTCAGTGTATTTTTGTGCTCTAACTTAAACAGCCTGTATTCAGTGCAAATGTGTAAATCTCTATCCACACTTATAAATATTTGGGTGATAAATGGAGAAATACCTTGAAAGAGAGTCCAAACAAACAGGCAGGCCATGGGATGGACAGAGCTCACCTTTCCCCATAATGAGTGCGCTCACCTGTTCATCGCCTCACCTGGGGCACAGGGATCACTCTCCTGCCCAGACATAAAGCAGCTCTTTGAGTCCAAATGGCAGAGACCACACCCATCTCTCCAAGCCCCCCTCAGCTCAGCTTTCTGACACCAGAAACTTTCTCACACTCACACACCATCCACAGAGAGGAAAAGTGTGAACAAAGTGTGTATGCAGCACATACACAAAAGTCAACAGGACAAAGGGCTCTGAGGCACAGGGTCTCAGGTAAATAGGATGACACAAGCCAGGATATAAAAATTAAGCTACTGCCACATCTTTGCACTAATGTGGAGACTGCATCAAACTTCCAGTTCATTGTGCACACAAAAGAAGAATACATCATTACTGCAAAATAGTACAGTGCTGTGGATCTCAGTGACATTTGGTCAGATCCAGATGTTATTACAACATTAACTTTAAGCCATTAGGCCTTACTGTGTCCATATTTGTAATACATTTATAATGAAAACAAAGTAAACTATGCTGGGACTCTGAGTAAACTTTCAAGCATGTTTTTTCTACAAAAATAATAAATTAAATAAATTATTATTTAAAATAAATTAACATACTTGTTCAGGTCCTAAACAAATATAAATTAGTGAAAAGAATTTGAAACTTGCCTAATGGTCCATAATTGTGAAATGGGTTGAAAACACAAGCAGACCATATATTCCCACAAAGCTTGCAGACAGTTGACAGAAGACTGCATGAGAAAACGAAAAAGACCACATACGTAGGACAACAATCAATATCTGCCCCTCACAATGCTCACCTTTTGTTGTTATAATGGAAAAAGTAATTGGTCTGGATTTTTCAAGACAATTGTTTTGACATCAGAAAACGTGGATGCTCCATCATTAAATAATACAACACACAAACAGAGGGGCCAGAGAGACCTTCTAAGAATGTTTCTACACTGAAAGCAGAGAGGAGACCAAAGACAGCTACAGCAGCTTAAACCCGCTTACAAGAAAAAAAGAGGACAGTTGCAGACTAAAGACCATTACTATTTAAATAATATTACATAGTAGCCTATTTATAATATATCAAGTTTTATGTGACATTATTAACACACTAAATAACACAAAACATAAAACATAACACACAGAAATTTTGTTTCTATATTTACTAAACCAATCATTAAAAGCCATAATATCTTGGACATGTAAACCCTGTCCTATTATTCAATGCTCTGCTGGAGAAGACTGCTTAATGTGAAGCTGCACTGGTTCCCTTGGTAACCGCAGAGATGACCCACTCGGCCCCTGTACTCACCGGCCAGGCGTATTTGAAGGGAATGACAATGTGCCCATTAGCGCTATCCTCCACTCCATGGCTCTGGTGACGAAGTGAATGAGAGTTCCCACCCAGGACCCCTGTACTGCCGCTCCCAAATGTGCATGGTCCAGTTGGAACGACCCTGGCCTGATACTCCTTAAGACACGCTTTGAAATAGGTATCACATTGGTCTCTGGCAGAGCACTGCTGACCCCCGTTGGCCTGGAGGTCGCAGCAAGCTCCGTTATGCAGCAGTCCATGGAGATTCTGGAAGTGACAGATCTGAAGCTCGAACATTCCCACTGCCAAAACAACCTGCAAGAGTAAATAAAATTGTATTAATTATTATTTCAATATTTAAACACAAACCACATACTCAAGTCAAACTCTGTAACACTGTAATATTGTCAGTTGTTGGATATTTAATTATTAATTTAATATTTAATTTTCATTTCCAATAGGGTGAATAGTTTGTATTGAGAGTTACTATTTAACCTACATTCTGTTTATTGCCTTGGCCTCATGCAAATACAAAGAAAATATGGATTATCCCTAGAGTGCCAAGCTGTGAATTAGTGGCTGTTTCCCCAACATGCTACATGAATCTTATGTTTCAGACTGCTGTCGTCATGTGATAAACTGAAGAAACAAGGACTGCCAGATTTCATAAATTCGTCAGGATGAGTTTGGCTGATATCATATGACTTGTTTCTATTTCTTTTGTGTATGTGCCACAAACACTCCCATCTTATTTTCCTTCCCAAGGGATGATGGCACTGAAACTCATTCACATCTCTCCTTCTTTTACTTCTCTATGTGACAAACAGATTCTGCTTAGTTTCGTTTTCTGGTGATCACAGGCGCCTCACACTGTCACAGCTATCTGCCTGTTTGAAGATGAACTGGAGGTGGTACACACTTCAGTTAACAAGGCCCCCAGAGAGTCCCAGGCCACTGAGGTCAGGTGGGTGTGCTAGTGTCTGTCTATATCACTGTTGATTAAACAATAGCACTTGGGCTGTCTCTGGCAAACAGTAAGTATTGGCAGTATTTTCATCATCCTCTGAATAAATTTGTATAAATAAATCTAACCACATTATACAAACACAAGTTCATGAAATCAACTATCCATTCATTAACTGTAAAAATGATTGGGATGCTGAGCTGAATATGAGTCAGGCCTCATTGTGGAAGGATGCCCCCCTCTTGCCCCTGTCCCAGAGCGGAGGGGGAGAGGGGGGAGGGGTGAAGTCCCACTCCACATCAAAAGGCTTATGGAGATACAGTGGCGCTCATCACTCGGCATGGCCCTTTCTTCCTCCACTGCACTGTGTGCCCAAGCCATTCCCCACATACCAGTGTTTCAGCGCTTACACGGACCAAACACACACCAGATACACAAGAGGGACCGGTCCAGAATGGCTCCACATGAAGAGCTGAATTAACTAAAATAAGATATATACAGGAACATTTTATTTAAGTAGGCGAAAAGTCGGTTCTGTCATTTTCGGCACACTATAGTTTACATGTTTTATGCCCCAAGCCTGTATGTAGCCTTTTGCCAAAAGTCAGTTGTCTATTTTATATAGGAATCATAACCCTGGTTAAGTTATTGTGGTGACTCTAAAATTGGGAAAAGGCTGAAGGGGAAGGAATGTAATCCCTCAACAAAAAAACTACAAGTCAGTTCACAATGGAAGCCATGGAATGATTTTCTGAATAGGCTAATGAATCTTCATTTTAAAGCCCATTTTTGCAAAATGCAGCTAAAAATTTTCAGATATTATATATATGCTTTTGTGCTCATCATTATTTTCAGAAGCATGTCCTGGCTGTTTTAGTGATGGGCTCCACAGAGAGCAGAGGGAGTGGACAGTGTTATGCTTCAGCTGCGGGGCTGCAGTGAGCACACAGACATGCTCATGGTTCACACGCCCCAGAGATGATTTGGCTGTGCCCTAGACTCCACACACCCAGGATGGGGATGCCTGGAGGGTTTAAGGGGAATACCACAGTCACAACGTAGAGCTGGGCCCATTCAATAATGCTTGATACCTCAAGGGAAAAAGGCATTATCTTGGTTTGACTGGCACTGACACAATTCACGAAATAAAATGACTTAGCCCGTTCAAATAGTTTGAGGCACTCCATAATAAACTGAATCATTGCATTTCAATAAAGCAGTAGACCAAAATGGCTTTAAGATGCATACATTAAACATATTTTAGGCTATAAGTCTATTTTGACTCTCTTTTAATTGAGCTCAACAAATGCAATGTTTGCCCTTTTCCATGCGATGCAGCCAGGGGCTGAAACAACAGGTGGGCAGAGCGCCATGCAGAGGCTCAGGAATGAAGTCAACTCTACAAGAAAGGACCACTATTCATTGCAGTCTATTAACGCGCAGCTGTGCTCAGAAATGAAGCACAGTCAAAAGTCAGCGTGGGAGCTTTAAGTGCGGTCCAGGAATAGACTTTAATCGGCGCTTACCTGCGGCTGTATCGTGAGCGCAACCAGGAAAATCACAGTCCGCTGCAGGTGGAAGTGTCCTCTGTGGCCCGACGTGCCCATATTTGGGTCTACAGTAAATTTTATGGTCCTGTTCCAAGAATTAATTCGAGTTCCACCACACGCTCTTGCCGTCTCCATCCCTGCGTCAAGTAGCGCGCTCCTCCGTGTCCGCAGTCCTCTCCACTTCATCACGTCCAGTTCAGGAAAAACATAACGAGAGCTACTTGCCCACCGTTTTTACGGTCAAAACCACGCGTTGCCCTAGTTCCACTTGAGCATAAACACTCCACTCGCCTATAGCGAGGCGCTTCCTCCCACCACCACCTGCCTTAAGAAGCTTTAAAGGTCCAATCTGGTGGCTCACTTCACTTGAACTCTCATCCCAATTAACAGGCGCAACTCTCTCTTGAAGTCTGGACACAATAGAAAAAACACGTGACAAGAGGCCACTTGTTTTTTTTCTATTCAAAGTTGTGACCAGTAGCAGGATGATTTCATGTAGGCGCTCCTTTTGTCTGAGCGTTGCCCCATCACTTGTCAATCCGATACGAAACCTACCGGCGGCCACTGAGCCACTGTGGGAAACAATGACACGGTGCGCGCGATAGCGGAGGGTGTGTCCTGAGGCAGGGACTATTCGTCTCTTGTCCAGAAGGCTCCTCGCGCTTTCTCTCTCTCTCTCTGTGTATTTTATAAACTTAGTGTTTGGTTACCTCCTCTGTCGTTTGTTGTACATCAGTGGATTCTAATTTCAGTCCCATCTGTGTCCAACATCAAACCTTCTCAGGAGGAACAATTAAATCGCATTTCCAGATCCCTGTTGGTAGCTTAATACAATAAATGAAAACGTATTATGTTATTGCAAGCTGGTGTTACCTGCATGGACTCTTTATATAGGCTAGCCTATGCTTAGACTTGCGAAATGGATGAGAGGCATAGAGGCTTACTGTTCCCTATTTGGTAGGTCAAATTAAAACACTGCATATTTTCCAAAGTTTAACTTCTTACAATGTATGGCCTTATTGCAGCCAGTCTATAATGAGATTCAATGGCGTGTTGCTCAAGAGCTTCCCTGACAACCGCTGGTGCTTCCGCGGCTCAGAACAGACGACTCTTCAGGAGCCCATAAGTTCATTTGCATAGAGCAGAGAGCTGTGACCTTCAGACACGACCAGAGTTATAGGCGAACCAATTGACGCAGGCATTTCTTAAATGAGAGGAGGAGACTTTTATTATGGGCGTACCTGGAGAAAGGTTTAAAACGTTTGGCGCCTACACATGGTCTTGGGCCTCGTTGGCGACATCTAGTGGGCTATTAACTTAAAAGAAAATTAGAGTCATGTAGACTGCCTGTTTATTGCTTTACATGGCTGAAAGGTGACCTACTGAGACAGGCCAGACATTGACAGTGAGAGATGTTAGAGAGATGTTAATGCGATGAGAAATTACTTGCATTCTCTACAGTAACTAGTTTTGTGTGTTAAAAATTAAATAACTGGCTAAGTGCTGAACTGCCCCCCAAAAAATGACTAAATGTGTGAATAGTGTAAAGTTTCAAGCCTGTATGTTTGTATTCATCTCCACGGTGAAGACTTCAAAGTATAGTTTTAACTTTCTATTTCGATCAAATCATGCAGGGGACAAGCCATCTCCAGAAAGTTACTGCCCCTTTAAATCCACCATAGAGGCCATATATACTAGACAATGCCAGGGCTTTAGTGTTTTAGCTTTTGCAGCTGAGACTGTAGCTTGTGAGCAGCATTTATGTTTTACAGTATTCACACAAATAGAAAGGTTTTACCAAACTTAATGCTGGTGTTAGCAACTTAGAACCCCATAGTACAATGTGTTTGAACATTCTTCAGGTCTTACATTTAACAAATGTATAGCAGCCCACTCTAATCCAATTTATATTCAGGAAGGCTTATTGATTTTCAACCTTGTTGGTCAATCAACAATTTTTGTTTGAGCAAAAAAACGAAATAAATTTACATTAACATTGTGAAAACAGTTTAATTATCATATATAAAAAAGCTCCAGGTACAATGTCTGGGAAACCAGACCCTGGGTGCAATGCTTGAAAGTAAAGACATCTGAAAAAAGTGTGTATACTTACAGATGGATACTTACACAGCATCTTCAAAAATATTTTCTAAAAATGTGAATAGTAAAAAAAAAAAAAAAAAAGTACTCAAAAGATTAAGTCAGCTTTAAAGTAATATTATTTTTTAGCAAATGAGATCTTCATGGCATTTGTTTGTGTGATCTTAAAGCCTTGTAAAGCCTCTCGTGCAGCCCCAGCCTGTACTTCATTATCAAACTCCACAAAGGCGATATCGTGCCGGCCTGGGACCAAACGCACCTCCTTGAATCCTGGGAACCTGTAAGTTCAAATGAGAATGAAGTTTAAGCTTGGAGGTTTGAAACAACAATATTGCAAAATGAAAGTTGACACTGACTGGTTGAAGAGCATGGATAGCATGAGTTCATTTGTCTCTTCAGGCAGGTTGGTGAGGAAGAGGATGTGATTTGGAGGATTTTCTGATACCTAAAATGGAGCAATTTCTGAAAACAAAATCCTGAACAGTATGTCATAATGTGCTGCTGGAAGATACACAGTACCTGTTGAGGCATTTGACCAGGCATCATCTGACCAGGAATTGCCCCAGGAATTTGGCCAGGAGCCATTCCAGGAGGGGGCATCATACCAGGAGGGGGCATGTATGGTGGCTGACCGGGCATGTGCATCATACGAGGAGCCTGGTTCAAAAATGGCATCCATGGTTTAGTAAAAGGTGTCGTCATCATTTAAGCAACAGATAAAATATATTGATAAATAACAAATGTAAATGTTTCACTCACAACCATTGCTGCTGGAACACCAGCGACCATTCCAGCTGCTGCAGCCTTCTTGGATCCTTCTGGTTTAGGCTTCTTGATCCTTTCCTTTTTGCGGTCACGCTCTACATAAGTTCCCTTCATTTTAGCAATAATATCAGAGTCCTGTTTAGCATATTGAATTCTCTAAAGAAAATAAAGTTCAGGTCACAGTATTAATTAAAGTCATACACATTAAAACAAATAATAGCATGATATTCTGAAACGTATCATCTTACCATGGGTTTGTCATAAAAAGGAAATCCCTGCATGGATCTGAGTGCATTGGAGGCACTGTTCACCTCTTTGAATATAACAAAAGCCTGGCCTTTCATCTTTATGTTTCGTGCAACCAGGATGTCTAGAATTTGTCCGAATTGTGAAAAGATGGCGTAGAGAGACTTCTTCAACTCTGAGAACGAGGGAAAACACGTTTAAGCACATGCACAGCTTTATACCCATATGCATGTTGCAGCAGTTACACCACGCACCATCTTTCTTGATCTTCTCGTTTAAGTTGTTGATGTATATTGTGTGATTCAGCCGCACCTCCGCAGTTGCCATTTTATTACCTGTGAACGACAATCAGAAAATATTAACTTCATGTTATAGATATCGACTGAAACAAATAAAAGCTAAAAAAAAAAAGAAAAACTTAATCGATTTGGTTGGCAATTAGCTCTAGGTTAGCAAAGAAAATGCCAGTCATGATTGACCGTCAAATTAACACTTCTGGTCTCCACACACTACAAACAGAGCTATATAAATACTCTATACCTATAATAGCGTCTCGTACATCAAATGCGTTTGAAAAGTACGCAGTAAAATTACAATAATCAATAAAAAACACCTCACCGTGAACCGAGCACCGAGCCGATGAATGAAAACGTTCAAGAGCGTTTTGTAGTTTGTAATCTCGCGATAATTCCTGTCTTTCTTCTTCGTTGTTAAAACGTGGGTGCAAATTGTTTTAGTGCACAGTCGCCACCCTCTGGACTGAATGCGAACGATCTGTTTATTGATTTAATTGCGTAGGCCTATGCGTTTTCTTCTGAACGTTGGCAGTCAAGTTTTATGCTTTTGTTTTATGTGCTAACGGTTTAATTACCAAGAATGTTGTCTGGTGAAAAATACACGCAAAATAAAATAATATATAAGCTGCATCCTTTTTTTCGTATGTGTGCAGGTTTAGCGCAGCTACAGATAAAGAGCTAAACATGATATATGGCAATACATTTTCTCCACATGGGTCAACTTTATGGAATAACCGAGCAATACTGAGTGGGAGGGGGGAAAAAAATCAATGTTCAATTTGGACTGGTTCGACAAAAACATTACATTTGTTCTGGATCTAATGGCTTGTGATGGTAATATTCTAAACATTTCATCTTTCAAGGAAAAATATAATTTTAACTGTGAGTATAGATTTTTCCACAAGTTTGAAAAGCAATCCCTCCATCAATACTCCATTTGATTTAAAGCACACTTCAGTATTACAATGTTCAGATCAATCAGTCAGTCAATCAATCAATCAATCAAACTTTATTTGTACAGCACTTTTCATACATTTGAAATGTAGCACAAAGTGCTGTACATGCAACAGAAAAATTACAATTAAATACAACATCAACCCCACCCCCCTTGTTTCATCCATATATACAACAATTTAAACAGAAACATAAAACATAAAGCTCCTAAAGGTTATATAGTAAAAATAAAAATGGAGAGGTAAGATCAATAAAAATGGAGAGCTAAGAAAATGTAAAATAAATATAATCATAATTATAATCATAATAATAATTTAAGTTAAAACAAGTAAAAGTTTCAAATAAAACCTGAATTAAAAAGATAAGTTTTTTAGTTTACTTTTAAAAATATGAACACTCGCAGCGGACCTCAGATCCTCAGGCAGACTGTTTCACAAACAGGGGTAAGCTAAATGACGCCTCACAGTGAGTTTTAGTCTGGACTCTTGGGATAGTTAAAAGATGACTAGCTGAGGACCTGAGAGTCCGAGAGGGCTCATATGATAAAAGCAGATCAGATAAATAAATTGGACTAAGACCATTAAGAGCTTTATAAACCAATACAAGAACTTGTATTGGTTTGTATTGGTTTGTATTGGTTATTTATCCAGAAGCTCACAAGCCAGTGCAGAAACTTCAGTACTGGTGTAATGTGCTCTCTCTTCCTGGTCCTCATCAGCAGCTGTGCTGCACAGTTCTGGAGGAGCTGTAGTTTTCTTTGGAAGAGTAGAAAGGGGAGCATTACAATAATCAACACGGTTTGTAATAAAAGCATGTATTAAAGTCCTTGCACTGGCTTGAGAGAGAAATGGTCTGACTCTGGCAACATTTTTTAGATGATAAAAAACAGATTTAGTGATGGACCTGATGTGTGGCTCAAAGCTAAGCTCACTATCAAGAATTCCTCCTCAACTTTTTACCCTCTTACAGGGGTTCAGTGATTAGGTTTGGAGTTTAGCTTTGAGCCTCTCTCTCTGAGCTGCAGGAACAATAATTAAAACCTCGGTTTTGCCCTGGATGAGCTGGAAGCTGTTTGCTGCCATCCAGGACTTAATATCTAAAATGCAGTTAAAAAGGGTGTCAATCGGGCTTAGGTCATCAGGAGACACAATGATAGAGAGTTGGGTATCATCGGCATAGCTATGAAAGTTAACACCGTGTCTCCTGATGACCTGTCCTTGTGGCAGCATGTAAAGTTTAAAAAGGGTAGGACCTAAAATTGAGCCTTGGGGAACACTGTACTCCATTTTACATTTTGTGGAGGAGTGCTCCCCAAGACTAACATAAAAATCCCTGTTAAAAACTATTAAACTATGAACTAGTTAAAAACCAACCCAGAGAGATCAACTGTATAATGCAATGGTCTACTGAGTCAAATGCTGCCGTAAGATCCAACAGTACCAGGACGGACAGACTTTTCTTGTCCATGTTGGATATTATATCATCAAGGATCTTTACTAATGCAGTCTCTGTGCTGTGGTGTACTCTAAAACCAGATTGATACATTTCAAAAATATTGTTGGAAATCATAAAATCATTAACCTGGTTAAAAATTATTTTCACTAGAATTTTGCTTAAGAACGGCAGATTGGACACAGGTCTGTAACTACTGAGCAGGGAGGGACCTAAGTTGTCTTTTTAGAGCAGAGGTTAACCTTGGAAGTTTTAAGTGGTGCAGGAAAAAAAAAACCTGTCTGCAACAAAAAAATTACAATACTAAGAACTTCTTGGGCTAAAAAAATAAAAACTGATTTAAAAAGCGATGTAGGAATAGGATATAAAAAAAAAGTGGCTGGTTTTAATTGTAACAGTATTTTGTTAAGAGTCGAAGCATCAACCAGGGCAAAACTCTCAAGTGTACTTGATAAAAATACCAAAGGACTTGTATTACAGACATTGCCTGGTTGGATCTCCTGCAGGTCAGCTCTAATGGACTGTATTTTACTGCTGAAGTAGGTGACAAAGTCATCACAATTTGGCATGTTTAATGGGTCATTCCAATTACGAACAGGGTCAATAACAACTAATTGTGGAAAACAGAATCCTGGGATTATTAATGTTGTTACTTATGAGTTGGGAGAGGTATGCTTCTCTTTTACATTTCATACCATTGTTGTATTTTCTCATTTGTTCAAGGTATATTTCATAATTTATTGTGATTTTATTCTTGTGCCATTTTCTTTCTGCTTTTCTACAGTTTTGCTTTAGTTGTCTTGTTTGTTTGTTTTTTCCCAAGGGGACTTTTTTGTATTCACACATTTTGCTTAAAATCCATACAGTATAAAAGATTAAAATTAAATTAATCTGTTGCTAACCCGTCTGATTTGACATCATTGTGTAAATTAAAATCACCTTCAATTATCATTTTATTGTAATTTGAATGCTAAAGTTACGGCTCTATCTGTACCTGTCCATGTCTCTGTTAAAAACATACAATCTAAACTGAGGATCAGCAA